TGAGTGCAATGAATTGACTGGAACAATTATGTCATATAGACCTGCTGGTGGAACTATAACATGTTTCTGGGTGATGCTTTTCTAGTTCGTAATGCTCCCTTCTTAGCAAAATTAGGGCACTATTAATACATCAAGAGAGGTGACCAGCCTTAAAAGTTCTCATTAGTTTAAACTGTTTAAGTATGAGCTGAACACACGAAGAGGAAGAGGGAGTTTCACGGGGGTTCACTTCTACATTGTGTTTCTCCACCGATGATCATTCAAACAACCCACCATGTATAGGAAACATTTTGCTGTGATGATTGGAAATTTCAAGGTTCTAATGTGAAACTGTTTTGATTGTGGTATGGCAACTCAGTAATTTTTCTGAAATTCTTATTTTTTGAGAGTTACTGTGTAGCAGCCACCAGCGGATTTACATCTTAGTCTCTGAAAGAATGGCAAACCTGAGCATGTTTTCAGGAATGAGGCACTTTGCAACTCCCAGAGGAGGTGTCCAGATTTTTTAGGCTCACACTTTCTGTCTGGTTCAAGTACCTACAGTTTCACCACATAACAACGACAGTATAACATTGCATTAACAACCTCAGAAGGGTGTTTGTCATAGTTACGAAGGCTAGGCGAGGCTGGGCGCCGGAGTACCTTCTAGTCGCCAAGGTGATTTGGCGTCCGTCTAGGTGTCCATTAGGCGAGTGCAGTGTGGCAATATTATGTGTTTGTGTGTGTGTGTGTGTATATATATATATATAGTGAATATATAGATATAAAAAAATGAATGCACATATATGCATACACACACACAGAAAAACGATCAGACACGTGTTACTTTTAAAAATAGAGTTTTTCATCGCCTTAGGTGTATTCATGCAGGATTAGGATTTAGGAAAAAGGTGAGGCTAAGCCGAGCGCCTCATTGCCTAGGTGTTTTCGGGCTAGGCATCATTAGGCAAGTTCATAAAACTGCCCAGACGCCTAGGTGACGACTTGATAATTATGGTGTTTTTTTGGTTCTGGATTAGTTTAACTTGAAAGTGCAAAGTTAGCCTACTAATTAGGTTGATGGATTTATGGGGTTAAAAATATCCAAATGTCAATCAAGCTTCCCTTATTTGTTACTCTGTATAATATAGTTCCTATGTTCCAACTAATCTTCGTGCCCTGCTTAATAATGTTATTGGGCTGTAAAGAGTTTCTTTTCCTTACTTTTTTGGTATCAGAGTCTTCAACCTAGCTATATTTTGGCTTGGTAGTTTATGCTGCATCCTGCATCCATGGCAGGGGCAGAAAATGATAGTTGTGTGAGAATAATGATGATTCTTACCCTCATTATATCTGGTTGGGGCATATCATACCTTGGAACTCACATGCTTTTCCAAACAGACCCTAAATATTGTATAACACAGTTCACTTCTCCCCCATTCAATAAAAAAGGTCCTTATGAAATGAACAGTTATGAAGTAAGCACATTTCTCTAGACACTACACAATCTAGAGGCTGTGATGATTACTAATTGGATTCAAGAGTTTCAGTCACAACCCATGTCGTGGCGTGGCAGATGTATATTTGCAGCCATGGTGGGATTGGTTGATTCATAATCTGATTGAGAAAAGGCGAATCTGAGCCTCATAACATTTTCTTTCTAGAGGAGTTGAAGTGGCTGATTTTATATCTTCTTTAAACAGCATAAGGGTCTGTTCATTTGGGTTAGAAAAGTTAATTCTAACTTTTTTCAACTCCTTCCAGTTTCTTCCTACTCCTTCCAGTTTCTTCCAACAATGACTAAAATAAGTAATTACATATGATGAATATACAATAATATTATATCCAAATTTATAACATACCACCTTAAACGCAGACAAAGATGAATTTTTTTAATCCAAAATTAGATTTCTTACATATTTATTTGGGTGATTATTTTATTGATTGATTTTTTAAACACTTCATTTTTCCAACATTTTCCAACTCCTTCCAATTTTTTCCAACTCTTCCCGTTTCTACCAACATCTAACTCTGGTTTTACATCCCAAACCAACAGAACCCATGTGTCTTTTGATTCTAAATATCTTTTTTTACTTTCTGTTCTGCTCAAGTCGAGGTCTCTTTGGAATAGCTCCTCTACTTTTGAATAAGGGTAACAGACCCTCCCTAGACCCTACTTTTGTGGGATTCTACTGGCTTGTTGTTGTTGTGAATTTTTACAGTCTATGAGCGATTGAGCGTGTGTTTCTAAACACTCTCCTTAGTTTAAACATGAGGCTGAACACACACAGAGGAAGAGGTAGTTCCACAGGGTTTCTCTTCTACATTGTGTTTCTCAGCTGATGATCATTCAAACAAACCACCATGTATCCAAAACATTTCACTGTGATGGTTGAAAATTTCAAGATTATAATGTGAAAATATGTTGAACGTGGCATAGCAACTCAGTAATTTTTCTGAAATTCCCATTTCTTCAGAGTTACTGTGTCACAGCCACCAGCAAATTGACATCTTAGTCTCTGTAAGAATGCCAAATTTAAGCATAATATCAGGAATGAGGCAATTTACAAAACCCATAAGAGGTATATAGATTTTTTAGGCTGGATGCTCACACTTTCTGTCTGGTCCATACCTCGGAACTCACATGTTTTTCCTATCAGATCCTAGAGGCTGTGATGATTACTAGTTGGGTTCAAGAGTTTCAGTCATAACCTGTGTCATGTGGCGTGGCACATGTATTTATGCAGCCATAGTGGGATTGGTTGATTCATTAATCTGATTGAGAAAAGGCAAATCTGAGCCTCATAACATCTTTTCTTTTAAGAGGAGTTGAAGTGGCTGAATTTATATCTACTTTATCCAATAAGCTCAAACAACCTAAGTGCCTTTTGATTCTAAATATCTTATGTGTTTTCTGTGTTGCTTGAGTCGGATGTCTCTTGGAAACAGCTCCTCTACTTTTGATTAGGGATAATGTCTGCTTACACACACTCTTCCTAGACCCTACTTTCGTGGGATTCTACTGTGCTGTTGTTGTGAGTTTTAACACTGTATATGAGCACATGTTTCTAAAACTAGTGTGTGAAAATGGGCATAATTATAACAGAAATAGCCCGCTGAAATCTGCTCAAAATGTAAAATTAGGGCACTGTTAATGCATCAAGAGAGGCGATCAGCCTAACAAATTCTCATTAGTTTAAGCATGAGGCTGAGGCTGGACACACGAAGAAGAGGGGAGTTCCACAGGGTTTCTCTTCTACATTGTGTTTCTCTGCTGATGTCATTCAAACAACCCACCATGTATACAAAGCATTTTGCTGTGATGATTGGATATTTCAAGATTCTAATGTGAAAATATGTTGTTCGTGGCCTGGCAACTCAGTAATTTTTCTGAAATTCCCATTTCTCGAGTTACATTGTAGCTGCCACTAGTGGATTCACATCTTAGTCTCTTAAAGGATTCCAAATTTGAGCATAATTTCCGGAATGCAACTTTCGACGTGGAGCCGGGGGTCTCTTTGGAAACAGCCTCTCTACTTTCGAGTAGGGCTAAGGTCTGCGTACACACACCCTCCCTAGACCCTACTCTTGTGGGATTTAACTGGGTTGTTGTTGTTGTTGTTGTTTCCGGAATGAGGCAATTTGTCAAACCCAGAAGAGATATGGAGATTTTTTAGGCTGGTTGCTCACACTTTCTGTCTGGTTCATACCTCGGAACTCACACGCTTTTCCAAACAGACCCTAAACACTGTATTTCACAATTCACTTCTTCCCTGTTAGGCCGTTCCTAAAAAAGGTCTATATAAACTGAGCAGTCAAAATGTAAGTACATTTCTTCAGACATTACAGAATCTAGGGGCTGTGATGATTACTAATTAGATTCAAGAGCTCCAGTCACAAGTCACAACCCGTGTCATGGCGTGGCAAATGTTTTTATGCAGCTGTAGTGGGATTGGTCGATTCATAAATCTGATTGAGAAAAGGCGAATCTGAGCCTCATAACATCTTTCTTTCAAGAGGAGTTGAAGTGGCTGATTTTATATCCACTTTATACAATAAGCTCAAACAGCATAAGTGTCTTTTGATTCTAAATATCTTATGTGCTTTCTGTGTTGCTTGCTTGAGTCTGAGGTCTCTTGGAACAGCCCCTCTACTTTTGAGTAGGGGCAAGACACCCTTCCTAGACCCTACTTTTATGGGATTCTACTGGGTTGTTTTTTGTGAAATCTTACACTGTCTATGTGTGTGTGTTTCTAAAACCAGTGTGTGAAAATGGGCTTAAATGTAATATAAATAACCCGCCGAAATCTGCTCCAAATGTAAAATTAGGGCACTATAAATGCATCAATAGAGGTGATCCACAGGGTTTCTCTTATAAATTCTTATTAGTTCAAACATGAGGCTGAACACGGAGAGGAAGAGGGAATTCCAAAGGGTCTCTCTTCTAGATTGTGTTTCTCCGCCAATGATCATACAAACAATCCACCATGTATACAAAAAATTTTGCTGTGATGATTGAAAGTTTGAAGATTCTGATGTGAAACTATGTTGATCGTGGCATGGCAACTCGGTTATTTTTCTGAAATTCCCATTTCCTGGGAGTTATTGTGTAGCAGCCACCAGCGGATTCACAGCTTAGTCTCTGAAAGAATGCCAAATCTGAGCTTAATTTCATGAATGAGGCACTTTGCAACTCCCAGAAGAACTATGGAGATTTTTTGAGGTGGTTGCTCACACTTTCTGTCTGGTTCAGTTGCCTAAAATTTTACCACATATGAACCACAGGATAACATTGCATTAAGAACCTTAGAAGGGAATTTGTTTGGTGCTGGATTACTCTCCCTTGAAAAGCTAAGTTAACCTAATTTTTAGGTTGATGGATTTATAGGGTTATAATCATCCAAATCTCAATCAAACTTCCCTGATTGTTATACTGTACTCCCTCCATTCTGAATAAACTTTGTGCCAATAAATTTTATGGTGTAATATCATTTTGGGTGTAGAAAATACTCTATAATATTTTCATATGAGGCCGTGATGAGTTCTTTCCCTTTTCTTGACCATTTCTTGATTGTGCGTGTCATCCTTGTGTATGGGCCATGCTAATCTTCTCTGTATCGTTCCAATTTTATACATATCTCTTGGCTTGGTAGTTGTTTCTGCTGCAGCCATGGCAGGGACATAAACTGATTGCTTGTGTGAGAGTAATGGTGATTCATAGCCTCATGTTTTTCTGGTTGGGGGACATCCGATATCATACTCAGAACTCACCCCTTTTTCCAAACAGGCCCTAAGTAAATTATATCACACTTCTGCTCCTTTCCTAAAAAAAGGTCCTTAAAGAATGAGCAGTCATAGAGTAAGTGCATTACTCTATACACTACAGAACCTAGAGGCTGTGATGATTACTAATTAGATTCAAGAGGTTCAATCACAACCCGTGTCGTGGCGTGGCAGATGTAGTTTTGCAGCCATGGTGGGATTGGTTGATTCATACTTCATATTCTGATTGAGCAAAGGCGAATCTGAGCCTCATAATGTCTTTCTTTCAAGAAGAGTTGAAGTGGCTGAATTTATTTCCACTTTATACAATAAGCTTAACAACATCAGTGTCTTTTGATTGTAAATATCTTACTCCCTCCGTCACGGTGTTTTCGTCCACTTTTCATCCATTTTTGTTTTGAGTCCTTTATTTTATTTTGAGTTTAATGCTGGAGATTGCTTCAATTTTTGGAGTTTGGAATTTAAAAAATTGAGAGCTCATACAATTTATTTATTTTTTACCAGTTTTAAAATCTGTGATCTTCATTTTATTTGTCCTTATTTTGTCAGTATTTTTAGTTCCATTGGTTGGTTTGCTCAAACTTTCTTGTTTATACAGTGTTATACAATGAGGTTAAAATGACGGATTGCGTCATTTACTGCCCAAAAGGGCCAAAATTTCATATGAAGGAAGCAACAGAAGTTTAATGCGACATTTTGAGAATCATATTTACCATTAATTTGTAGAATGCTTTAGTTCCTGCATTGATCAACTCGTGTCAATCCTTCCAAGTGTTGATAGATTTAGTTAGAAGTTGTTGAGTCCATATAATTCTTAGAGCAATGCTTCTTGATTGAGCAAGCTATCTATGTGCCGAACTGTGTATTGTGTTGCTGGAAATCTTTGAGCGTCTGCTATGTCATTATTATATTTACATTTATTTTTTTTTCTTTTGCTCCTCAACCAAAAAAAGTCCCATTGATGCAGAGTTCACAATGTCACGGAGATATGATAGCCGTACAACAATCTTCTCTCCAGAAGGCCGTCTGTGCCAGGTGGAATACGCAATGGAGGCAATTGGAAATGCCGGGAGTGCCATAGGCATATTATCAAAAGACGGGGTCGTTTTGGTCGGCGAAAAAAGGGTCACTTCCAAGCTTCTCCAAACCTCCACCTCCACCGAGAAGATGTACAAGATCGACGACCATGTGGCGTGCGCTGTTGCAGGAATCATGTCAGACGCCAACATCCTCATCAACACAGCCAGGGTCCAGGCCCAGCGGTACACTTACGCTTACCAAGAACCGATGCCCGTGGAACAACTGGTCCAGTCACTGTGTGACACCAAACAAGGGTACACCCAGTTTGGAGGGCTGCGTCCTTTCGGGGTGTCCTTCCTCTTCGCAGGGTGGGACAAGAACTACGGGTTCCAGATGTACATGAGCGACCCAAGTGGGAACTACGGTGGGTGGAAGGCTGCTGCGATTGGGGCAAACAATCAGGCCGCGCAGTCCATGCTGAAACAGGACTACAAGGACGAGATCACGAGGGAGGAGGCTGTTCAGCTTGCCCTTAAGGTCCTTAGCAAGACGATGGATAGCACGAGTCTGACCTCCGAGAAGCTCGAACTGGCTGAGGTGTTCCTCTGCAAGGACAAAGTTAAGTACCTGGTTCACTCACCAGAGTCTTTGAATAAGTTGCTTGTGACGCTTGGCTTGACCCAACCCACTTCGGAGGAGGAGACCTAAACCTCTGCTTCTTCTTCTTCTTCTTCTTCTATTTCCTCTGTTTACTGCTCTATAATATATTCTGGACTTTGATTTGTTTTGTTGATGATGATCACACATTATTGTGTGGTGGATATGAAATCATAAGAAAAGTGTGAGATGCACTCATTTAACTCTAATCCCACTGTTTCTACATTAGTGTCCTTTTAAAGCGGTCTTGAGGTTTAATAAAAATAAAAATGGTATGGTTGCCGGTTTTTTTTAAAAGCAAATTGAATTTCTATTATATCAAAGATGTTTTTAAAAGAAAATTGAATTTATATTTGATCAAAGATTGTCTAATACATCGAAATGTGAGGCAAACGTGTATTGCTGTGCTGCTAGTCCATTTTGAATAATAAATTCAAGTCTTTAAAAAATTATACTAAAAAATCTAAGGGTCATAATATAATTATCGTGTTTGGTCACGTTGCATGAAGTGACTTATTCAGAAAAAAAATACTAATAAAAAAGTATATAAGGGCGTACTTGTATCTTAAAAGAAAATTTGTAACAATTTAGAGGTATGATGGTACTATTCATAATGTTAAAAAAAATCACACTTTGGCACTGCGGCAGAGTATTTATAAATTATAAAATGCTAAATTATAGATATTTTACAGTGTTAACATGCTTATTTAAGTTATGAAAATATTAAAATATTATTTTAATATATATGATAGTCTAATTTAATTTTAATAAATTTTCTAACATTTTCAAAATTAATTTATGTGGTTAAAAGATTATTCAAAACTCTAATAGGGAGTACCTCAGTAATTACAAAAATTGTTTCCAAAACACCTTTTGTAGTGTAGAGGCGAGAAATCGACTCCGGCGGTTTTGAAGTTGTGTTTGGCAGAGAGAAGGACGGCTCATGGCGGCGGCTCACCGGACCTTAATAAGTACAAGGTAAAAATAATTCTACTGCCTCATATAATCATACGCATTCTTCAGTCATATGCATCGTCGCATCTAATTAGCGCTGCCTTTTGGGGCAAATTTGCAATGTCGATTTGGCTCGTGTTGCTACTTCATGGAGGAGGAATTTATCTCCAAGATCTTTACCGATTGATGAAACGGCGTCTTCCAGCGGCGGCAGCGACGAGCTCCGGCGCCGAAATTTCAATAGCTCATGGAGTACGACTGCCAACCTCCGCAATTGGGTGAACCAGGGACGAAAAGCTTCTGCTTCTGACCTGAACCAGTTGACTCGATCTACATGTCTAGTTTAGACCAGACCCGACCGAAACCCGATATCCTAGAAAGTGTGGATCAAAGACCGACCTTAAGCGCTATCAGTATGGGTTCCATTTAGACCTATAGGTTTGGTTCGATCTATACTTTTGGTCCAAACCTAGGCGATGCCCTTTTTACCTGATCTGAATGGTTGTGATCAGACTGTAATAAGTTTTGATCTAGTCTGAATGTAGTTATATTTAAAGCAAATTTTGGTCTGATCTGATCCGGCATGATCTGAATTGAATTGATTCTAATAAGAAAAAGTAATAAGTAGTAAGAATAAGTTGAAGAGAATATGACCATAATGTCCTAGCACCCCTACTTAGGCAGCATTCCCGTTCACCTTATTCTTCTGTTTATTACTTATTTTTATTAAAATCAGATCGGATCAGATTCAATTAGATCATATCAGACCAGATCTAAATAAAATTAATATTATTATTTTTATTATTATTATTACTATTATTATTACCATTATTATTAGTATTATTATTACTATTACTATTAATATTACGATTATAATTATTATTACTATTAATATTTTTTTATTATTATTACTATTACTATTATTATAATTGTTTCTATTATTATTATTATTATTGTTAATGTTATTGTTCTTACTATTAGTATTATTATCATTATTACTATTACTATTACTATTGTTATGATAATGACTATAATTATTATTAATATTGTTATTATAGTTATTACTATTATGATTATTATTTTCATCATCATTGTTTCTCATATTATTATTATTATCATTTCTGTTATTATTATTATTATTATTTCTATTATGATTATAAATATTTCTAGCATAATTATTTCTATTATAATTATTACTATTGTTATTAGTATAGTTATTATTACTATTCTTATTACTATTATTATTATTATTTCTATTATTATTATAACTATTATAATAAGTTTTAATCAAATTCATATCAGATCAGATCAAATTAGACCAGATGAGATCTAATTAAATCACTTGAGTTGAGAACTTCAAAAAAAATCTTTTCAAAGATAGTCTAAACTTAATTGTCCTCGGTTCGCTTATCTTTCCCGTTTCCAAACCCTGGCTAGCACACCACCCCATCGCCAAAGAGGTCGCGGATAGGGTTATTACCTATACTTTTCACAAAATTGCTGACAGGTACCCTCGGTTTTCTGATAAGAACTAACAGGTCCCATCTTTTTTAAAAATATACTCCGAGGTACCTTTAATTATCTGAAAACTAACTCCGAGGAGACTTTCCGTCTATCCCTCCGTCAAATTCATTATCTCCGTTAACTTTTCATCTTCTTCTTCCTAAAAATTGTTGTCAGGTACCCTCAATTTTGTAGAAATAACTTTCAGGTCCCATCATTTCTAAAAATATATTCCGGGTACCCTAAAATATCCAAAAACTTGCTTTGGAAGAATTTTCTTTTATTATTATTATTATTATTATTATTATTATTATTCTTATTCTTATTATTATTCTTATTCTTATTCTGAGATTATTATTATTATTATTGTGATTGTTATTATTATTATTACTATTACTAATGTTACTTTTATTACAAAGTATTATTATTATTAGTCACTTCATCATTATCTTCTGCAGCCGTAACTCGCTGCCGCATTGTCTATTGTGTTGCATTGGATTTTCGCTACACGCACTAGAACAATAATAATAATAATAATAATAATAATCGTGATAGTAATAGTAATAGTAATAATAATCGCAATAATAATAATAATACTCTGTAATAATAATAGGAAAAAAAAGGAAAACCCCCCATAGTAACTTTTTGGATATTTTAGGGTACCCCGGAGTATATTTTTAAAAATGATGGGACCTAAAAGTTGCTTTTATAAAATTTGGGGTATCTAACAGCAATTTTTAGAAAGAAAATGATGAAAATTAACGGAGAAAATGAATTTTACGGAGGGAAGGACGGAAAGTCTCCCCGGAGTTAGTTTTCGGATAATTAAAGGTACCCCGAAGTATATTTTTTAAAAAGATGGGACCTGTAAGTTCTTATCACAAAACTGAGGGTACCCGACAGCAATGTGTCTACTTTTAGCAGAATTCGATGCGGTCTACGAGGTAACAACTCTTAAACCCTAGATCTATTAGTAGTAGGTTTAACTGTGAGAAAATGTGTTGAGCTTTCTGCGTTTGTGTACGGTTGTGTTCGGTGTTGTTGAGCTCCCGTTCGAAATTGCAGTTTATTCGTGCTTTGTGTCTGATTGTCTTAAAAAAATCTTATTGTAAAATGGCTTATGTGTGGTTTGTGATTTTGTAATTTATATGAGTGAAGCTCTAGGTTAAAATTTGTGGTGTGTGTTCTTGAAACTGTTTTTTTTTTGAGATTTAAACTCTTTAAACAGAAAAGAGATCTTAGAAATTAGGGATATGCTAGGGGTATACCAAATACCAAAGGTACACCACCCCTCTCTTTACCATTCATTTTATTTTGTTTTTAATTTTTGTTTTTTTTTTGAATTTTTCTTGCTTTTTTTGTGGTGATGGAGGGGGTGGGGATGTTTAGGGTACACTTTTGGACATTTTCCTAGAATTATGTTGGTGGAAATTTTTGGGCGTCTGCCACATCATTATTATATTTAAATTTATTTTGTGGGGGGCTAAGAGGACTGGGTATACTCGTAACGCCGACCAGTGTTATGGTCATTTTCACACCCAGGGAGCGTTAAATACCGCCCCCTGCGGCTTCATCCCGGCGTCAGCATGCACGCGTCAAATCAATGACGCTGTAATCCCCCCAACGGCTATTATAGCCGTTGAAACCAAAAAAAATTAATTATTTTTTTTTATAAATTTGAAACTCCTCCCCCTCCCATTCTCACACCTTCAATTTTCACATATTCTTCAATTTTCCAATTCTCCAACTCTCTTTTGAACATGAATCCTTCCGGCTCCGGCTTCTTCCCCGACGATCTCAAGCCTCACGAGTCCGCGATGTGGTATTTCCAACAATACGGGAATCATCCGCCGATGTTCGAGACACAACAATCGGGGTACGTCGAGCGAGATTCGGTTCTGGAGACTCAACCGGGACCATTCGGCACCAAAAAAAGTGCACGCCGGAAGAGCCACAAAGCGAAAGGCACGATGACCGAGGCGGCACGGTCAATCCAAAAGTGGACGCTGGAGGAAGAGTGCTTATTGGCATCGGCTTGGGTTGACGTCTCCGAGCATCCTATCGTTGGTAAAAATTATATGTTTTCTAATATATTTATGTTTTTATTTATATAAAATTATATATAATCGTGTCATAAAAAAAAATTCGTGTTATACTTTTTTAAAGGTTCAGAGCAAACGAAGGATGCAATGTGGGATCGTATCGAGGAGAAGTTCTTCACGGCGATGAATAAGGACGGCTCTTACCGTACCCGGGACCAACTCACTTCCAAATGGAGCCACATTAATCGTAAAGTCCGAAAGTTTATCGGAGTTTACGATGAATGCGCCCGGTCCCGGAGGAGCGGGACGAACGACGGCGATGTTCTCCGGCTTGCCACGACCCGGTATCAAGATGACGGGCACCAAGGCAAGGTGTCCATCGATCTTTGGAGGATTTTGAGCCGTTCCCCGAAGTGGCAACAACTCAACATTCCCGACGGCGGATCGTCAAAGAAAAGATCCTCCGTCGACACCGAGGTTGAGGTCGACGACACTATCGGTTCGTCCGAACAAATGCTTCCCTTCAACATTGCGGATTCCGATGACAAGGACCCCATTCCATGGCCGGTCGGAAGAAAGAAGGCAAAATCCATTGCCTCGGGTTCTGGAGGGTCCGGCTCTGTTTCCGTTTCTTCTCGCAACGATATCGGTCGGGCAATGGTTAAACAACTTCGGGTGTTCAATATTCGAAAAGAAGAGAGGATGAAGCGAAAGGAGGAGCAGGACGAGATCAAAATTATGGAAACCGACCTTTCTACGTTATCGAGCTTCAAACGGATGATCTTCGAGAGAAGACAAAAAGAGATCAAGGCCAAATATAATTTACCTTAGTCTTTTTATTAATGTATCTTTTTTATTATTGTCGCTTTCTTTTTTTTAATTGAATGAATGTAATTTTTTTAAATTATTATCGTTTCAATTTCTTTAAATTTAATGAATGTATTTTTTATTATTCGTGTTTCAATATAATTAAATAATAAATTAATTAAATTTTATTAATTTAGTTTTAGAAGATGTATATTTAAAAATTTAAAAAATGAAGGTTTGAAGCTCCGGGGCTTCAAACTCATTTCCACTGAATCTGTGAGGTAAGTTAAAGCTGACGTGGTAGAGAGAGAAATTTTGTAGCCCCGGTTTGAAGCCCTGGGGCTTCACGGGTATTTCTAGTGCTCTAATAGCCACATATTTTGTGGTGGGCTTACGGCGGGGTTTGGGTGGGGGTGCAGGGGTGGGGGTATGGTGGGGGTTTAGGGGATGAGTTATGGGAGTATGAACCGTCAATTTTACGAACGGAGCATCGGAATTTTCCAAAAAGACAGTGGCACCGCTAGTGTCACCAAAAACCGGTGTCACCAGAACCGTCAATTATAACCTAATTTTATTTTAAAATATTTTTTAATGTTTTCAAAATTAATTTATGTCGTTAACACTAATAGGGAGTACTTCACTAATTACAAAAATTGTTTCTAAAATGCCTTTTTAGTGTGGAGGCGAGAAATCTACTCCGGCAGGTTTGAAGCGTTGTTTGGCAGAGAACGACGGCTCATGGCGGCCGCTCGCCGGACCTTAATAAGAACAAGGTAAAATTAATTCTACTGCTTCATATAATCCTACGCATTCTTCATTCATATGCATCGTCGCATCTAATTAACGCTCATTTTTGGGGCAAATTTGTAGTGTCGATTTGGCTCGTGCTGCTACTTCATGGAGAAGAAGTTTATCTTCAAGATCTTTACCGGTTGATGAAACGGCGTCTTCCGGTGAACGCCGCCGCGGCACCAGCGACGAGCTTCGGCGCCGGATTTTCAATAGCTCATGGAGTACGACTTCCGTCCTCCGGAATTGGGTGAACCAGGGACGAAAAGTTTCTGCTTCCGAGCTTCGCCTTGTCTCTAGGCTGCTCATCAAACGCCGTCGTTTCAAACAAGCTCTTGAGGTCTCTCCTCTTCTTTTATTTCGCCGTAGTTTTAATTTTTTTTCTCTCTTTCTATTGGAGCATTTTTTATGGTTCAATTTGTGAAGTTTTGAAGTTGATTATAGGCCCGTTTGGCAGTACCTTTAACCTTTTGTCATTTTGAAACGATTGTCTAATTTAGTTTCAGTATTTTCAAGGTTAATCTGTACCTTTAAAAGATTAAATGCTACGTATTAAAAAAAAGTTGTTCCCAAACAAGACTTATCCGTTTGGGGTTGGAGTTTAGCTTTTGCGTTTTGGACACTCTGTGAGTAACCCTTAAGCTTTAGATTTCATCGTGTTAATCTACTCTAATTAAAAAAAATTATTCAAAACTCTAATGTTAATTACAAACTCAATTCCCCGACTATGTCAAGGAACCAACTGAACCAAAAGCTTAAATTTATCCTCTAACAAACTGACCATGATTTAAGAAGGGAAATGTTTCACTGGAAAATGCTTCTAAGTCCTGAAAAAAGGGTTATTGCTGGTTAAAGCTGATTGGGATTAGGGTTGCATTCACTACTTCCAAAAATGGATGCATTGCTGGTTAAACAATGTTTTTAGATCCTAGAAAAGGATGCATTGCCGATGACTATATTCTTAATTTCATATTTGAGCAGATTCTAACATGGATGGAAGCTCAAGATAGTTCTGCCATGTCTGCTTCTGATTACGCAATCAGGTCCGAATTAACGGTTAAAATCCACGGTTCAAAAGTAGCTGAAGAATATTTTGAAAAACTCCACAGCTCCATTTCAAAGAAAGCTTCCTGTCTCCCTCTTCTTCATTTCTATGTCAAAGAAAGGGACACCGAGAAGGCAGAAGCTCTGATGTTGAAAATGAACAGATTGGGGTTTGCCGTGACAACTCAGCCCTTCAATGAGATGATGAAGCTCTATATGGCCACGTCTCAGTACACCAAAGTACCATCTGTCATCCTTCAAATGAAGCATAACAATATACCCCTAAATGTCCTCTCCTATAACCTGTGGATGAGTGCATGTGGAGAGCTGAATGGCGCCTCATCGGTAGAGATTGTGTACAATGAAATGTTCAACGACCCACACGTTGGCGTGGGGTGGAGCTCTTTGTGCACGTTAGCTAACATATACCTAAAATCTGGACTTACCCACAAGGCTATTCTGGTCCTGGAGCTCGCCGAGAAGAAATTGTCCAAGGATAACCGCCTTGCTTATTTCTTTATTATTACAATGTACACCTCTTTAAACAACAAGGAAGGCGTGCACCGGCTTTGGGAAGCTTCGAAAGGTGTAAAAGAAAGAATGACTTGTGCTAATTACATGTGCATGGTGTCATCTTTGGTGAAGCTCGGGGAGATCAAGGACGCTGAGGGTGTTTTCGAAGAGTGGGAGGGTCAGTGTAGAACATATGATGTCAGAGTCCCCAACATTCTTCTCGGTGCGTACGCGAGGAGTGGATTAATGGGGAAAGCTGAGTCGTTATGTCTTCGCATTTTGGAGAGGGGCGGAGTTCCAAATTATAAGACCTGGGAAATATTAATGGAAGGCTGGGTTAGAACTTAGAAGGCGAAGTAAAGAGAAAGGCAATGATGTCGTCATGCAAAGAGAACGGCGTTGATTGTGAGCATTGCAAACTACTCGCAGAAGAAGAGTGAAAATGCTGAAGATAAGCCACATCTTACACGCTCTAAGGCTTTGTTTAGTAGCCATAATTGGCGTATTCTGCTCATACAAGCAGGACGACTAGGTTCTATTTCTTCGGTTGAAAGGGTTTTACCAAATGGTTTCCCCAAATGGATACTGAGCCAGAAAAGAGTTTTTATGACNCCGCGCCCGTTGCCCGACAACCCCATTTTTGCAACCCTAAAACTGCACTGCTGCAATAAGTTTGGGAGAAATTCCTGCAACTCTTCTCCTCTTCTGGTAAACTGTGAATATGTATTCGAGTTGCATGTTGGTCTTGTGTTAATCTCAAATGCACCAAGATATAAAAAATGTTCTACCTTTGTGATTTGAGATACATTCTTCAAAGAAAATTAGCTGGACTTTTGTTTTTGCCATTTTATCGAGACATTCTTAAGTGTAATTTGTTGCAAAAATTATACTCTATTTATTTGAAATTAGCTGGACTTTTGTTTTTTTCCATTTTATCGAGACATTCTTAAGTGTAATTTGTTGCAAGTATTTCACTTCATCGAAATCAGTTGTCCACTTTATATATTCCGTAAAGATATGATGAATTGTCTAAAGTATCTTAACAATAGGGTATGTGTATTGTTGGCATGTATTAAAGTGGACAAATAATTTAAGATGGAAAGAGTAATAATTAGAACAAGTGGTTGAGCTAGTGACATTTAGGGTCTGTTTGGAACGGAGGAAAACGACTTCCGGAAGTCATTAGTCATTTTCCGGTGTTTCGGAATAGAGTCCAAGGAAAATGAGAGGGGTCAACCGGAAAATGAACCCAAAATCCGAAATTTGACTTCCTCTTTTTTTTTCAGATGTTGATTTTCGCCTGAGTTAACTTCATTTTCCATTCATGCTAGCCAAACAACAACATAAAGGAAAACGACTTTTGGAAAATACTCATTTTCTAGAAGTCATTTTCCAAAAAACGTTCCTCATTCCCCCCTTTCCAAACGGACCCTTAGTGTAACCCAATTATATCATTATAGATATTTCTTGAGTTCTTAAGTGCATGAAAATCATAAATTTTTATGCATATTTACATTAAGGATGTTTATTTAAAGGTTAAACCTCGTATGTTCCCAAGGTAATTTTAAGTTCTATTCAACACACATTCTAAGTTCAAAACCTACAGTTGAGCTATGCATGTTTTGCTCAGCAATATTTTCGAGGAACAAAGGCAATAACACGACAGTCATACGACTTAGCCACCGAAGCAATGCGTCCCCAAACACCTACATTGCCACCCCCACTGTATCTTCATTGTCACGTTAATATTTTAATTTGATTTATAAAACAAATTGTGCAGATCATAACTCGACATTTGTTGTATATGCATGACACTTTTTGATCAAATGTATATATTTTTAAAATATGAAAAAATATTCTTCCTATGCAACACACGAGCACAAGTCTAATTGAGTATATTTTTAAAAACATATTGATATATTTTCACGCAGGCGATGTGCAAGTAGAGTAGCACAAGAGTTGCGCGAGACTCCCCTTCATCGCCGTGAGAGCTTGGCCAGCAAATAGATGACAAAGAAGCAGAGCAGTGCAAAGAGTACAACATGCATTACATGGGATGATCCCTCCTGGATGATACTCCTATTAAGCCGCCTCATATTGTTTTTCAGCCCAGCTTGAGCTTTGATCAATGTCATTTGCTGTGTAAGGAAAAAATAATATGCATATGATATATCTATAAACATAAACACAGATATTTCGAAATGAAGATTTCACATCTCAAGTGAAAACGGTAGGCTCGGATTCTAAGTTAATTAAAGAGAGAGGATGCCAGCGACAACAACATACCAGCTGGCTAATAAAGTCGTTCTGGAATTTAGCTTCTGATTCAATTTCCTGGGCAACCTGCAATAATATCACACAAGGCTAAGAAATTTGCAAAGAGAATAGGACTATAAGAGAGGAAACTGAATGATACATTTGGAGCTTTCCGTCAAGAAAATGGTTCACCATGTAAAACGGTTTTGAATTGATGCGGGAAAAAAAATAAGAGAAGGGAACTGGCATAAAGATTTAGATTAGTAGTCTCCCAAACCTCAGTTGTTACAAATAACATAACTCAGGAATGAATACCTATCACTACTGATACAGGAGTCCCAAGAAATAACTCCCTACGCATTTGAACAGGAGCTCATATGGTCATGCACGTATGCTAGACAGCTAACACATATCCAAATGAAAACACAAAAACGAATGCACAAAGCAGGTAAGTATTGTAAACATAAGAATAGTTAGTGTCTTTCCATATTGAGATTATGATGATCATCTATAGTTTCAGAAATCTTTTTAGCATAAGTTCACGAGTACTACACACTCCTCATAGTTTAGGTCTTTAGGAATTGCAAAGGAGCTATAAGAAACACGATTTACAAAGTCCTAGCTCAAGGTAAATATTGGACTAAATAGAGAACCAAGAAGTACCAACAAAAGATCATTTATGTTATCAAGCATTTAAATACACATTAAAACTCAAAAGGTGACATTTCACATCACAAAAATGATACAGCAACCCGGTTGGATCCCACAAGTGTATGGTCTGGGGAGGGTGTGTACGCAGACCTTGCCCCTACTCGAAAGTAGAGAGGACATTACAAAAATCATGTAATATCAAACTATAAACATAAAATGTATGGAAATAATTACAGAGTCGGTACTTCACAAAAGAAAGGGAAAATGTATTACATATTTAAGCTGTTTAACTTGTTTTCGAAGACCAGTGATTTCATCATCCAAATCTCCATGCATTGGATCAATACGCAGCTGTATTTCATCTGAACTGCCAACCTGTCTTGTACTCAATCCATCTCTGTCAGATTAAACAGAAATTATTCGAAAATCAATTTGAATTCGCTTCAAACACCAAAGATTCCAAATAAACTTTGCATGTCAAAGGTTCCATTCCATCAACTTGCACATTACATTTCACTACCATTTTGTAAAAGTTCAAGTAGAAAATAAACCAAGAAACATTTCATGAGAAGGTAAACAGAGTCCGATTTACCTTGACCGGTAGGGTTCGGCTCCATAAAAACCACCACCTCTGTGAGAACCCAAAGCCATTGAAGCAATTTACAAGAATAATGGAGCGAATATTTATGGAAATAATGCTGAGATGACTTCAATCCTGTCTCCATTAGTCAAATTGTTAGCAGCAGCTCATGTAACTCATTTATTCTGGTCAGTGTCACTTAGATCATAGAACAAGAAACATGCTATTTATATAGTAATATGTTTAAGTAAACCCACGATACTTTACACATGCTGGAAAGGACGAGTGCAAACAGATAGAAAGTGACAATCATGTATCATAGGAGCATTTATATCTTGTAGAAAATTCCATGCGAATTGGTTCGAAAAATCCAAGAAGCACTCTTGCCCCACATTGTAATCCATCCTCACATCACTGAATTCCAGTGCACATATTCATTGAATCTATAATTTGCTAGGGTAAGAGTAAAATAATGCGGAGTATACTCTAGAGTAAATTTGATTATCAATTGAGGGTAAAAGTGGAAATTTCCTGCACTGAGTTTGTATAAGAAAGGCTCATTTTTCCATTACACTACATAGCTCTTTGCATCCTCCAGGAGAAGCAGTGCAAGAATTCTATACACTCTTCCATGTATCTGTTTGGTCACTTTTGAAGGATATTCATCCTTCAAAGACATGTTCTGTCCTAAAATTACAGTAGGCAAATATGACAAGTTGCCATCCCTAAAAAACAGTGGCGATGGTCGAGAATGCATTTTCCATGATTTGGAGGTGTAACTGAATTAAATCATACCGAGTATACTTTTTTTATGTTTAGAGTAGGAGCTAAATGTCTCTTTTTGCATGGTTAACGAACTCATTAATCCATTTTCAAAGAATGTATTCCTACATATGAGCTTATACTGTATATACAAGACCACCACAAGCAAGTACAAGCTCACTATTGTGAGGCAAAGTCAGATTTGTCCACATATGGATACAAAATTCTTATCGCTTTAGGAGGCAAATACAATGTAGACCATTGAGGTTGCTATAATATATTGAGTGAGAATTTTGTATTGATAATTGTATCATTTTACACTTTAGAATATCACAAAATTGAGGCATAGTGGGTGTAGAAACCTTTGTGGTTTAATTTCTTTTATTAAAGAAGTACACTAATAAAAATTGAATACATTGTTTATATTATTCTGACCACAATGTTCTTATTATAAAAGAATACATTCATGAATCATATTTTCCTGTAGATACAACATGTTAATCATCTTAGAATGTCTTAATAATATAAAAGCATGCCTCAATACCAACACATAATGTTTGTAAAAACAGTTTAATTACAACAGAGTATATTGATAGATCTCATCTGCTACCTGTGATGAATTAAGAGACAAATAAAGGAGTATATTTACATAGGTCGACAGGAGTAGTTCAAAAGAGTGAGGCAGGGTGATGTGCATGAACCATTGTGGTTTAGACTCAGGATTAAATTTTTAGTATCACAACAAAAAAGGGTCAAGCTACTTTATAAAACAATTTGTACTTAGCAAAACATTAGTGTTATCTCTTGAAAGTTAATAGCAGAGAATTTGAACTATAATGCAAAATTGATCAAATAAGGAAATAGGTAAACATTGATGGCGAGAAACGGATTTATCTGCTTATTTTTAATTGATTTATAGTTTCGTCAGCATCCTAGGACAGTTCAATGAAGAAGTAAATAACCATCAGCAAAATGTATATTGACAGTGGGAAAACATATAACTGACTTACCCATACAAATTACAAGATAGTTTACCATGACTTACATACGGAATATTACGGATCAATGTTAAACTTTTGAACAACCATTCTTAGTAAGTTTCGGATAATTTAGACGATTCAATCGGCCTTCAGTATGGAAATCTAGGTTTCTACTCTGTAATCAATACGGAGTATAACTTTTTAATTGAAATTTCTAAAAGAATTTTTAAAAAATAAGATTTCACCAATTTTCTTATCGTTTGTATGTAATCAATAATCTAAAAGCATTCATTTTGTGAATTCAATCAAATGTATATTATCGACAGGTTTAGTTTCGAATCCAAAAAAAAAGATGATTGAAGATGGAGGTTGGAAGATCTGAAGAACAGAAGAAGCATAGATGACTACCTGTTCACGGGAATGTAAGCCTGGCGTGGGACGACGACACACCTCTGTAGTCGGCGATTGGGAGATATCCGATGTGCGTCGAGGGCAATGGTCGCGGGGCGACGGAGACACCTCGCTTCGCACTTATTTGGACTCAATTTGTGGATTAACTTTTTTTTGTTTATTACTTTTTTTAAAGTAAAACTAAATTAAGTTGAATCAAATTATATCGAATTAGATCAAATGAAATCTAATCACATAAGATCAGACCAGATCTTCAAAAAATCAGATGAGATTAGGCGAACGGAACACAATCTTATACTCTCTTTTATCCCTGTTCCAAAAGATCTACCGCAGTATGATTTTTTTAGCCATATTGTAAAACATTTTTACCACATATTGTGGAAAAATATGTTTATTTATAATGTAAATTTAATCAAATTACTTTATTTTGAAATATATTTTTGATATATTAAAATTTTATAACATTTAACTATTTAAAACTATATTTAGAGCAAGTTCTTTACGGCTTAAACTCTTAACTTCCAGTTTCTTCCAGTTCCGTCCAGTTTCTTCTAGTTCCTTCTAGTTTTTCCAGTTCTCTCCAGTTTCTTCTAGTTCCTTCCAGCTTCCTCCAACTATTGTCGTTTTCTTGAAACTCTTTCTACTCCCCAACAAATTACTCTAAAAACGATATATTTTTAATGTGATTATTATTATTATTATTATCATCATCATCATCATCATTAGAATTGTTATGTTCATAACTATAGTTTATAAATTATTTTTACATCTCACTATTTTTACGATTCACACTCATTATTTTTTCTTTAAATTCTCAATATGAATAAGATAATTTTTTGTGTATTAATTTACATGATAAAATAGGAAAATATAATCCTTTATCCTTTATTATATATCTTTATATAAATTTTTTGAGAGTTGAACTCTCAGAATCACGACATTAGGCAAGTTTACCTGGCAAAATTTTAAGAAATCATCTGTCACTTTTTAATAACTTGAATGATGTGACAATTTGATCAAAATATATAATATATACACGGAGTACCACTATAGGTTTTTTTAAAAAAATTATCTTTTTATATTAAATTTGAGAGTTGACTTCTAGAATTGCAACATATGTCACGTTTATTGGACATTTTTTTACATGTTAGCAACTATTCCAACGATCAAGCATTGACTACATAAATGATAATCAAATATTCTTTTCTTAAAAAATGAAATAATATAAATTTATATATAAATATTTTTTAAAAAATTAAAAATATATACTACATATATAAAAAAGAAAAAAATATTAATGGATAAATAATAAAAAAATTAATGTGTAATAAGTTAACTATTACTTGGTGTTCATGATCAAATATTTTATGGTATAATATAAAATGTTGTAAATGTAATCACTATCAAATAATATTCTTAAATACTAATTGTTATATTCTTGGTTACAAATTAATTGCTATATTCTTAAATGGTACCCAAATTGTTTATGACAAATACATAACATTTGAAGATTATAATAAGTAATTAACAGAAAAAAGTTTAAATATGTTTAATATTTATGCGCTTAGAGATAATACTATAAATATTTAAAAGAAAAAATTTATATATGGTCCTTATTTAATACCTTTTTCAAATAACACATGCTTTATTTATATAAAATCAAAAAAATAAAATTACCATCTTTGAACTGAACATTAATTTTAACATACTTCTACACTCTTAAAAAAACCACTAGCAATTTGATTTTTCAAAAAAAAAATGAACGTTAAGTTCATGTTACAAATAAAAGAATTATGTAGCTGAAAATTATTTGAAAGAGAATAATATATATAACATTCAAATGTTGTTTTATTTAAAAAAAACTAAACAATATGATCCCGATTTCAAAATATTTTTTAAAAAATAAAATGTATACTACGTATATTAAAAGACAAAAAAATATAAATTCATAAAAAATGTATTTTTATTATATAACACATGTCTTATCTATGTTAGAATACAAAATTAAAATGCATTAACAATTTAACTACGCTAAAAATAAAAAATGTCGATTAAATTGATGTAAAAAGAAATGAATTCTTACAAAAAATGCATGAGACACACCTTGCTTTTATACTTGTGCAATACCCTTTGTTGTTTCTTTTTGGAGAAGATGGTTGTCAATAAAATGTCCCTATAAGGAAATCAATTTTGAGGGGAAAATGTAAAGCGTTCGAAGGTCTCAGTGAAAGAATTTATTACATTTTGATACAAGAAAGAGAAAATAAAGAGAATTTATTACATTTTGTACTTACAGTTTTAGGTGATGCATACACGATGATTGAAGCACGAAGAATTCTGAAGGTGCGGTTCAACCAGTACCAAGTTAGAGAAGCAATTATGAGTGGCATACAAGAATCTGTGATTAGAGATGATACTGAATCGGCAGTCATTTGCCATCAAAGTATTCTACCATCTACATTCACTAGGGTAATATGTTTAACAACTGTCAAGATGCAATGACCACTTGTAGAAGGTTTAGTTATCCAAATTTATTGATTACTATGACATCTAATTCCAATGGCCAGAGATTGCAAGATATATGACAAGGGAGAAAAACTAAAATAGCACTCTAAGAACATTAAAATACTCTAAATAGCAGTGATATATGTTTCGTACCTGTAATTCCGATTTTGTCCTTTAATTAAACAGCAAATGTTCATTATTCACTGCCAAAAAATATGATTATTTTGGGCAGTGTGGTTGTTCACTTGTAATTGTGTAGTGGGCAGTGTGGTTTTTTATATGTGAGTTTTTAATGTGGGAGTGTAGAATGGATATATGTTGTTATATCTTACGGCAGTGTGTAAATGTATTATTGTGTTCCTTAATTTCATGTTGTAGTGTAATGTCCATTGATTTATGTGGCAGTGATTTCATGTATTAATTCTACACTGTCAAAAAATGTATGACTATTTTCATGTATGAATTCCACACTACCCTAAAAATGTATAGCTCTTTTTGTGTATGAATTTTACACTACTTTCATGTATGAATTCCACACTGCCAAAAATGTACTCCCTCCGTCCCAAAAAGATCGTTACGTTTCATTTCTTTGCGCATCCCTTAAAATATTTTTATATCGTCTCAAATGCCAAAAAAACTTTCAAAACAATTTCATCTTATAATAAAGAGTAAATATGGTAAATTTTAGAAATTTTAGATGTGAGTAGCATTGCTTTTTGTGATGCGCAAAGAAATGAAACGTAACGATCTTTTTGGGACGGAGGGAGTATATGATTGTTNACTGTACATATTTTGGCTGGTGATAATTACCTTTCCATCCATGGTCAGGTTTCAAAGACTATATATATCACGATTATTGAAAGAGTATCTCACATTCTCACATTATGGAAGGAACTTCTCGAACACTTCCTTACACCATAAGATTCGTTGGTCTACTTGGCAGTCATTCTCTTGGTAGAAATCCAAAGTTTATGGCTACTGCGGTAGATTTAGGAAGGGAATTGTTAAGATGAAGAATTAGTCTTGCTTTTGGAGGAGGCAACGTTGGCCTACAAGGAGCTGTTGCTTCAACAGTCTTTACCAATGGTGGTCTCGTTAGAGGTTTCATTCCTGGGTACATAGCAACACGACGGGTCTATGGACCTACGTACGGTGTAGAGCACACAGTTTCCAGCAATTACTACAAATATTTTGAGATGAATCATGTCGTGGAAGCTTTCATTGTTCTTCCTGGAGGAGTTGACACTATGGAAGGTTTGTTCACCTTGATCTCGTGGGCTTCTGAAGGGTTACACAATAGACCCATTGGTCTCTTGAACATTGACGGTTATTTCAACAACCTAATCAAATTTCTAGACGATGCAGTGAGGCAGAACTTCATGTCTTTGAGTCAGAGGAAACTTTTCATTTCTTCTTTCTTTGTTGGTGAGCTTTTAGACAAATTAGAGTTTGCTAAAGCTTTCCCGGGACCTGGGGTTAGTTACGATGAGTTTGTGAATCCTGGAAGACTAGACTTGGAATTGCATTTATAACTTTCTTCACGTAATCCATGTTGTATTTTGTGTTTAAATAATATTATCCATAAACATCAATGGTTAGTCATATGCGAGCTACATTTTCTTCGTTCTTCAATCTTTCACTGTTGGCGTCACTTATTCACGTCAAACGAGTCAATCGATTTGTCTAGTCAGCATCACTATGTTTCACTTAGTCAATCCAGACTACATCGACGTTTTTGACGATAAACAACTAAATCAGTAGTCGCTTCATAGCAAGGCATCAGTTCATTCAACATGTTCGAGATGTTTATAGCTTTTAACAAACAGGTTCTTCGAACAAATCATCTATACGTAGTAAAGGGTAGCGATTCTCGATCGTCAGTTTGTCCATCATTCTTAACAGAGATGTGATAGTATCTTGACCGTAAGTCAATCTTAGAGAATACAATGGATCCTCTAAGCTGATCAAATAAGTCATGATATGAAGTAAAGGATAACGAATTGTTCAACTGACAGTAGTTGATATAGAGTCTCATTGATTCTTCCTTATTCACGTTTGAACAGAACAGATACTCTCCATTAGAGAAAACACTTTGTCAG